CAATAGGGACCTCGCACAGTTCGTGCTCAGGCCCTAATAAAAGGATTTAAAAAATGTAACGTAAAAGTGTGGATTGAAACTGGATAAGAGTCTAAGAGAGTTTAAGACGGAGCTTCCGACAGGTAGCTACAGATGTCAACGCATGCGCAGAGTACAGATAATGGAGTAGAATAATTTCTGTACTGTATTAGTAAATAAGATTGTGTATTTATTGTTAGTTTTGCATGAATGTCACATGTGAAAAGTTTAGACTTCATAACATCAGTGAGGCATGAAGGCTCGAATATACTCTGGAGGGAATGCGCACACCTGCGGACAGCACGAACGTGGACTACTTCTTTCTGAAATCAGTTTGGTGCCGCGGTCATAAAAAACAGGGGGCACCCGGAAGTCTGCACAGAGCCTACATGTGGACTAGGACTTTCGTGTACGTGAAAAGTATAATCCTTGCTTTAGGCATATTTAGCTTTTACTATCTTATCGTATAAAGCAGGTGTAACTTTGTCTACATTAGGGCAGTGCCATTCACAGTGGCCGATGTGACGTGTCCCTGTGCTTTTTAGATTGTGCGGCGTAAGTTGCACCCATGCCAGCCGCTCCATGCTGTGCTATTTGCTAGTAGTAATTCTGAATGTGTTCAAATTGCACCAAATGTGACACCTTAGGTCCACAGCAACACACCCGCCATGTGTAAGGACAATTGGTTGAACAGTTTATGGCATAATCACAACACAAACAGACAAACACACACTCATGCCGGGTTTCCTGCCTTTATTAGAGAGTTAACAGTAGTTATAAGTACTGCTGAATGTTGGAAACACAAAACAGTGTTGTCTGTTAGTGACAACTGTTAGAAAGAAATCATTCAGTAAAAATATAGGATTTTTTTTCCAGCAACATCAGTGGCAGTATTTCATTTTGTCATAATAACACTTCATTGTGCTCACCAACTGAGGATAACTATGTAATCTGTGTTTTGTAAATGGTAAGATACAGATAACCAATAGGACACAGTTTATTCAGAGACCTGTGATTTTAAAGCCATAGTCTGATCAAGTAGGCCTAATTCAGTGATTTCCTGTTGAAAATGTGTCTTGACTGTAGACACATAATGTACTGACTGTACATTATTAGCTGTCAATTTTATTTTAAATCTTGCTGACTTCTCATTTATTGAAATACTTCCAAAACAATACTGTTAAAGATTGTCTGCAGCATCCAGACTTCATTTAGTTTAGAGTTACCTTAACCACTATTATGTTGAGGCATGTTGAAGGCATATAAGATAGGTGTTCTTCAGGGCTCTGGAGGTTGACCACACCTTTGTCTTGTCAGTCAACATCTGCGTTACAGTGGGGGACATTGTTGACATTGAGGATGTCATGGAATGCATGTGGTACCTTTACATCCAGTGAAGAGGGAACAAGTGGACACAGCCAAGCAAGACTGACACGCAGTGGTGCTTGCTGCCCCACGTTTGCACCTGTGGAGCTTAAAGACTATTTGTACTATTTGTAGAACATGGGGACATGATGAAAGCTTTGGACAAAGGCCACCACACTTTATGACAAACTGTGTATCTTAAGGCCCTTTTTGTTTCACTTATGAATATACCTAAATTGTCTTAGGTAGGTAGATTTAGTTGGTTACAATATAACAGGTGACAGAGTGAAATTGAGTATGTAACTCCCTCTTCTGCTACGTAGCAGACAGTATACATTAATATAGTAGCAATAACAAAAATGGTAATGGTAAAAACAGAAATAAACTATATTTATTGGAGCAGTGCTGAGGATGATTAGGCTTGAGTTAAGGTAGAAAATTACCCAGGAAAAGGAAGAGACCTTTGTTTCTTATATGGCTTGGAGTTATTAAAGCCTATTTCAATGTATTCTGTTTGTATTGCTCAACTGCAAAAGGTCCTGTATACTTCATTGAAAAGACAACTATATTTAATATGTTCTGCCTAATACTGGCTTAACTCTCTTGCGGAAATGACAGAACTCACACAGTGGATACACGGATGCAGAGCACACCCCGACTTGAAGGAAGTCGAACCATGCAACAGCTACAGCAGAGGTGTTCAGGCCTGCTCATCACTGCTTGCAGCTTTAATTAGGGCCTGAACAGCCAACGCTGTGAGCTCCCTATTGTGTTTGCTAGAATTCTTCTTATTTATCTTCCCCATCTGTCGTATTTTTGGGGTGCTTAGCAAGCCCGGACTTAAAGAAAAGTCTCTTGGAGCCATATGCTAAACCTGGCCATATTGAATTTAATATCTGATCTTATATCTTAACCCGATCGACTTCAAATGTGGGCAGCGCTACCTTAAGGGCCTTGCGATGTTAAATTGCGAAGCATTTTTTTAATGATCAAACAGCATGTCCATGGCGAGGCGCTGAATTTTGATGTTTTGCCATGAAAAGGAAGTAGCATGTAGATGGACTAGACACAGTCAGATCTGTCCCAAAATCACATGTCAACTTTATAGACACTTACATGTCAATATCCAGTTATAGTGATAACGCCACTTACTGGCATCAGGAAACGACATCGTTCAAACTTCATCTCTTCTTCCTCATTTATTTTTTACCCCTTGTACCTTAGCAGACATAAATGTCTATAATGAGGCATATATGCACCACAAAGCAGGTTGACCACATCCATCTCAAAGTTCAGCAGGAAAGCTATAATGCTTATAATAATATAGATAATTCTTGTCAAATGCTTTTGCCTTGGTGAGTAATTACTCGCCATTAAACAGGAAGCTGTTTTGAGAGCTACATTTAAACCCACCAAAAGTCAGCCACTTTGAATTGAATAAGTAACTGACACATCAACCACACATTGTCAGATATTTTCCACACATCACGTATGTGCAGTGTAAACTTCAAGTCCCGCCCTGTAGACATCTACATGCCAATGTTTAATCACAATGATAGCGCCACCTAATATTCAATGGCTGTGCTTAACTCCCTTGCGGAAATGACAGAATGCACAAAACGGATACACGAATGCAGAGCACACCCCGACTTGAAGGAAGTCGAACCATGCAACAGCTACACACCCCCGACGTACGGGAGGTATTTGGGCCGGCTCATTGCTGCTTGCAGCTTTAATTAATGCAAGGCATTGCGGTTCCCAATACCAGAGGAGCTGGGAACCCTATTGTAATCGCAAAGATTTTAATTTATTTTTTACTTCCGTAAAGAAAACTGAAACTGCGACCTAGATGGTAAGTGCTACAGACGCAAAACTCACAGGGTAGGTCCAGGTCACCGCAATGACCTCAGGCGCAACAATTCGCACACTTCTACCTCTAGGGGGCAGCAAGGTCAACGCATATAAAAGGTCGGTGCATATCAAAAACCTTATATCCACACTTTCAGGGGATCGAGCTTTAATCTCCTGGAATAGGCCACGGTCTTTTCTGTCTTTTTCTCGCAAAATCACGAAAACTGTTAATTAACTCCTCCGAAACCACAAGTCCCATCGGCACCAAACTTGGCATGGACCATCTCTGGACCAAGCTGATAAAAGTTAGTGCTCCCCAGAATTGGAATTATACGCTAACAAATGTTACTAAAGGGGTGGCAATGGCCCAACAGATAAGACCATGCCTTTGGTGTGAGAAACTCGGGTTCAATCCCCCACTGTGACCCATCCCCCACTGTGTCCCTGGGCAAGACCCCTAGTTGCTCCAGAGGCGTGCGACCTCTGACATGTATAGCAATTGTAAGTCACTTTGGATAAGAGCGTCAGCTAAATGAATAAATGTAAACTTAGTGCATTAATGTGATATGGAAATTTGGTGCAATTAGCCCCTAGGTGGCGCTATTTATCCTCTATAACCACAACTCGCATTGACGTGAAACTGAACCGAATTGTTCAGGATGGTCCCCTGACTCCATGGAACAAAGTTCACCCAATGCATTTTATATCTCCATAACCACCAAGTCCAATTCATACAAAATTTTGGTGCAATTCAGACTAAAGGTGGCGCTAAAACCGAAGCTGAAATACCACGGGAAAATCCTTTTTATTTCAAAGGACATTTTGCCTCATAACTACGCAACCTTTTGTCTACATGTTAGGAGATACTGCCGATTCGTATGGTATAGGACACCCCTCTGTGCGATGAAGTTTTTTTCACTAAATTGCAAAAACTGAAAAAAATATTTTAATTAATTCCTCCAAACCTGCAAGTCCGATTGGCAACAAATTTGGCACGGACAATCTCTGGACCAAGCTGATAAAAGTTAGCGCTCCACAGATTGATACGCAAAAAACTTTCAGATTCATAAGCTAACAAATGTTTGTGCCAAATGCTCTAAACAAGAAGTGATGTCTTATCTTAGGTTAGGGATGTCCAATCTACACCAAACTTAAGGACCTTCAGTGGCATGCCTTCTTGAGGGGCTGTATGAAATTTGGTGTCAATCAGCCTCTAGGTGGCGCTATTAACTGTATATCAAATAGCACTCCCATAGACATACATTTTATATCTCCATAATCGCAAGTACCTGTAATTTCAAAATCTGGTCGTTTATTCATCACGGCCCCCCGAAGCCATGGTGGGGCGTCCAGGTTTGGGCCAACCTACCTGCTGAGTTCCTTCAAAAATGTACTGTAGAGTGTACCGTATTTATGCTGTTTTAAAGGCCACAAAAAATATTGATCTTCTATTATCACTTATGTTGCATTTGTTTATTGATAAATATAATCTGAAAGCATTCTTACAATACAGCATTTTTCCACACCTGCCTAAACCATTTGCACAGTATAATGTGCATACGTTTTCATAATATTTTTCATATTTTATTGCAAAGTTTTAAATTTTTCTATATTTACTTTATTTTTACTTTTGTAGTAATAAAAAAAAATATATTTTCTCTTATTACGTTTATTGTTATGTACCAAAATACAAGAGCAAAATTTTGTATGTGAAAAACTACTTGGCAATAAACCTGATTCTTAGTGTTCGGTCCTTAAGAATGTACCTGGAAATGCTGGTGTCTCCCACTTAGGCAGGTAGGTGTTTCCATGTGCTGACAAAGGCGGTGGGGATCAGTGAATAAGGCACAGTAGTGATGGAATTCCAGCTATCTGATGTGGGGTCATAGCAGTCCAACGTTTTACACCGCTGCGTCCCAAAGTAACCTCCAACCACATACAGCTTATTTCCTGAGGCCAAGGCATGGCAGCTCATCCGTTTGGATGTCATGTCACCCACTCGAGTCCACTGATTGGTTTCACAGTCAAAGCGATAAGCGGAGGCAGCTGTAAATTCTGTGTCACCACCCATGATAAAGATCTGGCTCCCCAAGACAGCAGCCGCTGTGTAGCGCCAAGGTTGGGGGCATTCAGCAGGAATATTCCAGCGGTTACCCACAGGGTTGTAGCACTGGACCTAAACAGGAAGTTTGACAGTTGTTAGGCTGCGCTGTCGTTGACAAAGTTTAGGTGAAACACTAACACCTTTTGTCACCTTAATTTATTCACCTTTTCACTTTGTCCACCCAGATTTTATCCTGTAGGCCAGGAAATTGAACCAGTGATGGTAGTATTGGTCTTCAAAGATATATAACCCCAATGTAATGCACATATACATTATATTATTTGTGCACATTAATAAACAAGTGGAGCAAATAACATTTAATGACAAACTAATTGTAAATCAGAAAACAATTAACTTAAATTAGAACATTGAGTTATCTCTTTAAAATAGTAGCTAGACTGTGAAGAGCTGCCTTGTGAAGAATGGGAAGGTAAATATACAGATCTACCAACCTTGGAGGCCTTGTCTCTGTGTATGGTGGTCCCTCCAAAAACAAAGAGTTTGAGTTTGGCACTGACCACGGCTGCATTACTCACTCCATCTCGTAGAGGAGCCATCATCGTCCATTTATTACTGAGTGGGTCATACCGTTCGACCTAGGAAAATATTACACGGTAACACTTTAATATGTTGATTTCAAACAGACATATTAGAGCCAAGAGGTTAACGCTTAAAAGCAGTGCTAATCTTTAACCACGAAACAGTGTGTAAAAATGCATAATGTACTCAAGGTGAGTCAAAGGCTGACCAGCAGCAGAGATTTACAATGATCACCCCTCGATAACAACCAGATTACAATATTAATACATAAAACTTAAAACGTTTTTAACATTTATGAATATAGATAAAAACTGAAAATATTAATCTAAAGAAGTTGATTTTTTTCTAACCTGTTTCAGGGAGACAGATGGAGAGGCAGGAAAAACTCCAGCTATGGCTGTATGACCTCCAACAACATAAAGACTATTCTCCAGCTCCGCTGAACCATGGCCAAACCTAGAGAGGAGAATACCAACATTATGTATGCTTTAGGGCTTGTGGATATTGGTCTTTCATTAAACATTATATGATGGCTCTGAAATGTCTGAAGTACCACTCTTCAGTAAGACTGCTGCAGGTCAGTACAGTATGTTAAATGGTCATTGTTTTAATTAAATTCAGTTAAATTTTATTTATATAGCGCCAAATCACAACAACAGTTCTCAGAGCGCTTTTCATAAAAGAGCAGGTCTAGACCGTACTCTATGATGTTATTTACAGAAACCCAACAGTTCCCACCAAGAGCAAGCACTAGGCGACAGAGGCAAGGAAAAACTTCCTTTTAAGAGGCAGAAACCTCCAGCAGAACCATGGCTCATGGTGGGCGGCCATCTGCCTTGACCGGTTGGGGTGTCCTGATGTCCTGATCAAAGATACAGTGAGGAAAATAAGTATTTGAACACCCTGCTATTTTGCAAGTTCTCCCACTTAGAAATCATGGAGGATCTGAAATTGTCATCGTAGGTGCATGTCCACTGTGAGAGACAACCTAAAAAAGAAAAATCCAGAAATCACAATGTATGATTTTTTAACTATTTATTTGTATGATACAGCTGCAAATAAGTATTTGAACACCTGAGAAAATCAATGTTAATATTTGGCAAAGTAGCCTTTGTTTGCAATTACAGAGGTCAAACGTTTCCTGTAGTTTTTCACCAGGTTTGCACTGCAGGAGGGATTTTGGCCCACTCCTCCACACAGATCTTCTCTAGATCAGTCAGGTTTCTGGCCTGTCGCTGAGAAACATGGAGTTTGAGCTCCCTCCAGAGATTCTCTATTGGGTTTAGGTCTGGAGACTGGCTAGGCCACGCCAGAACCTTGATATGCTTCTTACAGAGCCACTCCTTGGTTATCCTGGCTGTGTGCTTCGGGTCATTGTCATGTTGGAAGACCCAGCCTCGACCAATCTTCAATGCTCTGAGGGAAGGAGGTTGTTCCCCAAAATCTGGCAATACATGGCCCCGGCCATCCTCTCCCTAATACAGCGCAGTCGCCTGTCCCATGTGCAGAAAAACACCCCCAAAGCATGATGCTACCACCCCCATGCTTCACAGTAGGGATGGTGTTCTTGGGATGGTACTCATCATTCTTCTTCCTCCAAACACGGTTAGTGGAATTATGACCAAAAAGTTCTATTTTGGTCTCATCTAACCACATGACTTTCTCCCATGACTCCTCTGGATCATCCAAATGGTCACTGGCAAACTTAAGACGGGCCTTGACATGTGCTGGTTTAAGCAGGGGAACCTTCCGTGCCATGCGTGATTTCAAACCATGACGTCTTAGTGTATTACCAACAGTAACCTTGGAAACGGTGGTCCCAGCTCTTTTCAGGTCATTGACCGGCTCCTCCCGTGTAGTTCTGGGCTGATTTCTCACCTTTCTTAGGATCACTGAGACCCCACGAGGTGAGATCTTGCATGGAGCCCCAGTCCGAGGGAGATTGACAGTCATGTTTAGCTTCTTCCATTTTCTAATGATTGCTCCAACAGTGGACCTTTTTTCACCAAGCTGCTTGGCAATTTCCCCGTAGCCCTTTCCAGCCTTGTGGAAGTGTACAATTTTGTCTCTATTGTCTTTGGACAGCTCTTTGGTCTTGGCCATGTTAGTAGTTGGATTCTTACTGATTGTATGGGGTGGACAGGTGTCTTTATGCAGCTAACGACCTCAACAGGTGCATCTAATTTAGGATAATAAATGGAGTGGAGTCTAGCTGATAGACAGGTGTTCAAATACTTATTTGCAGCTGTATCATACAAATAAATTGTTAAAAAATCATACATTGTGATTTCTGGATTTTTTTTTATAGATTATGTCTCTCACAGTGGACATGCACCTACGATGACAATTTCAGACCCCTCCATGATTTCTGAGTGGAAGAACTTGCAAAATAGCAGGGTGTTCAAATACTTATTTTCCTCACTGTAACTCCGAGATTCCTCACAATGGTGCTGGAGGCCAGGGCGATGCCATCCAGAGTAACTATGGGTGCTTTCCAAGTCTCTTAATGGTATCTATATTTCCCTCACTTGTGTCTTTTCCTTGTGTCTTAGTCAAGCCCACCGGGGATGGATGGAGCGAGGAAATATCTTTTTGGAGACATGACACCTCCTTTCCTCCGAAGCATCACGTAAAGCAACGTCAGTTTCTGATGAAAGCGGCAGCTGATCACAGCTGGATCAGTTAGTCAGTTGGCTCTAACAGCTGTAGAGACTTTTGATCGACTTTGTGTCTACATACATGTGAACTGTGTTGGTAATAATAAAGTCTCACAGTTATCAGTGCAGAGCAGCATGATTCTCTGTTACCTGTTTAACAAACACCTACACATGAAAATTATAGGTTACTGTATGTCCTGCTCAGAGGCACGGGATCACCCAGAATATGATCATGGTGTCTTGGGATTTATTAGCCTAAATGTTTCAGGGAAATTGAAATGATGTAACTTATATCAAAGTTGACGCTCAGTTTTTGGCTTTCCGTTTATTTCCTCTTCAGATATCCTTTAACACTACTGGATACATTCTATTTGCAAGTCATATCACTCGTCACCTATCGATCACTGCATTCCATCATATCAATCCAACTGATTTTACTCGCGGAGCCGCCGCTGCTTTCAACAGATGCTTTGCTCGCTTCATTAGATACTTTGGTGCAGTTTAGTGACTTGCCTGAGTCCTTACGTGTGCTATGTTTTATCGTCGTCTAAACACAGGAATGACCAGTCTCACATGTGACTGAATAGAAATGACGATAAATTATGGATGACATGTTTCTTGCTGACAGACTCTCTCTGACTTTAATTGTTTCCATAATAATAATAAGTTGATGGGAGGAATAAAACAAAGTTCTTTCCAATAAATAAATAAAGTTGTGTGTGGGGCTTTTGTTGTTCAGACCTACAAGTAACACAGATTTTAACAAGACAGTGAATCATAAAACAACTCAAATATAAGACTTTGAGTTTAATGTTATCTGTCCTGATGTGTTAGATCAGTCCGATCAGCTGCAGCGTCCAATCAATATTACGGCTACCCAGTAAGGGGGCGTGTTGGTCATTAAAAGACTTCCATGAAGGATGCACTAGTATATCCTCACTCATAGCTCCTCAGAGATCGCTCCTCGATCCTCGGGGCGCCAATAAGAGCTTTGGGACGCCCTGCAAGATGGCGAAGCGGAACAACTTCTGGATCAAGCGAGGCGCGAGGAAACGACAAATAAGAGACTTGAGCAGCACCCTATATCTTTAGATAATGCATCTCGGAGCAGCTTGGACCCCAGTACAATAACTTCAGTTTTATCTGAGTTTAACATTAGAAAATTCAAGGTCATCCAGGTTTTAACATCCTGAATGTACATTTGGAGTTTAGTTAACTGATAAGTTTCATCTGGCTTGATTGATATAATTGAGTATCATCTGCATAACAATAAAGGTTTATGGAGTGTTTCCTGATAATATTGCCTAAAGGAAGAATGTATACAAAGTTAACAGGATTGGTCCCAGTACAGATCCTTGTGGAACTCCAAGACTAACTTTGGCATGCATGGAGCATTCATTGTTATAAATGATAAATAGGACTTAAACCAGCTCCTTTAATGCCAATGAAATGTTCCAGTCTCTGTAATAGGATCTGATGGTCAATGGTATCAGAGAACTGTGTAAGGACATCAGAGATAAAATTGAAGACCTGCACAAGGCTAGGATGGGCAACAGGACAACAGGCAAGCAGCTTGGTGAGAAGGAAACAACTGCTGGCGCAATTATTAGAAAATGGAACAAGTTCAAGATGACAATCTCCCTCGGTCTGGGGCTCCATGCAAGATCTCACCTCGTGGGGCATCAGTGATCATGCGGAAGGTACATGTACACATACACATTTATATATATATATACACACATATACACATATATATATATACATATACACACATATACACATATATATATATACATATACACATACAATGCTTTATTAATGATGCATTCCGTATTTACTCATACTTAACTAATGCTTCATAGTGTGTAGTTATTATAACGTGCTACCAACTATCTTGGCAAATTAAATGAGAATTTTCCACTTTGGTGGAACGCCAATTCCTCTCAAGTTTCCGTGATATTTGCTTTAATTTGCGAGTTTCAGTATTATACCATGGAGCTAACCGTCTTTGTTGTATTATTTTCTTTTTTAGAGGGGCTACAGAGTCGAGTGTCATTCGCAGTGAGCCTGCAGCACTATCAACAAGATGATCGATTTGGGAGGGACTGAAATTACTTTGTGACTTGATAATGAATTTAGAGCTGATGGAATCACATCCTTAAATTTAGCTACAGCACTATCAGACAATCATCCCTTATTGAATTCTTTTCCTAATGGTGTGTCAGCAATAGAAACTCAAAAGTTATCAACCAGTGGTCAGATAAAGAGGGATTCTGTGGGAACACTATTAAATGTTCAATTTCAACACCATATACCAAAACAAGGTCAAGGGTGTGGTTAAAACAGTGAGTTGGTTCATAAACATTCTGAGAGAAGCCAATGGAATCTAACAGAGAGATAAACGCAGTACTGAAGCTGTCATTCTCAACGTCCACATGAATATTAAAATCCCCTACAATAATAACTTTGTCCATTTTAAGGACTAAAGTTGACAAAAACTCTGCAAATTCAGATAAGAATTCAGAGTACGGACCAGGTGCTCAGTACACTATAACAAAAAGAATTGGTTGCAGTGATTTCCAACTTGGTGTGAAAGACTAAGAACAAGGCTTTCAAATGAGTTATAATTTAGTTTAGATTTAGAGCTGATTAGTAGGCTAGAGTCGAAGATAGCTGAGTATTAATATGACTGGGAGGGGTGGATTCATTTAGGCTACATATACTCCATCACCCAGCCAGATTTCAGTAAGACAAAATAAATCAATATCATAATCTGATATTAGTTCATTTACTAGTACACCTTTAGAATAAAGAGATCTGATGTTTAAGAGTCCACATTTAACTCTCCTATTCGTTTGCACCATTGCGCTATTGGTTTTAATTTTTATGAGGTTTTTATGCACAGCTCCTCTTCTGTTTACCTTTGATTTAAATAATTTCGATGGTCGGGGGGCAGACACCGTCACTATAGGATTTTCACTAAGTAACTCCTGAAATGGAGGAACAGAGAAGTGTGTTAGACTGCGACTCTGTGTAGGGTTTTGGGTGGGTAACTGCTGAATTAGAAGGGCAGAGAAGTGTGTTAGACTGCGACTCTGCCTCCTGGTCTCAACTCTGGGTTGTCATGGATTTGGTCCACTAATAAACTTGGCCAGATTTCTAGAAATGAGAGCTGCTCCTTCCCAAGTGGGATGGATGCTGTCTCTCCAGATCAGACCAGGTCTTCCCCAGAAAGTCTGCCAATGATCTACAAAGCCCACATCGTTTGCTGGACACCACCTCGACAACCAGTGGCGGAATGACGACATGCGGCTATACATGTCATCACTGGTCAGATTTGGCAGGGGTCCAGAGAAAACTACGGTGTCCGACACCATGTCTACTCTAACTAGACAAACTGCAGTCACTGCCAAAGCAAGGTTCAAGTGGCACTGCGGCCATCATAGACTTCAGACTGGGACCAACTTTAAATAGCCAGGGGTCCACATCAGCGACGACCTCAAGTGGACTGTGAATACCACTGCGCTGGTTAAGAAGGCCCAATAGACGATGTACTTTTTCAGAATACTGAGGAAGTCCAACCTCTCTGCTAGACTCCTGGAGGCCTTCTACCTCTGCTCCCTGAAGAGCACACTAACATACTGCATTACATCTTAGAACGAGACCTGTTCAGCAGTAGACAGTGCAGTTTTTCCTTTAACTAGAGGCAAGAAATCTTGTTGTACATTACATGCAATGACAATAAAGGCATTCATTCATTTACCCACCACTCTACCTGATTTTGGGCCAGTGTACATGAATTTGCACCCTTCTAAATGGACTTAAAGCTCTACATAAACACCAATATTGCCAGACCACACTTATTGGTGGTATGATATGCCTACTATTCTGTTTACTATAATGTAACATAACTCACCTGGCAATTAGCATGGGTGCTCCTTTTGACCACTCTTCATGGACAGTGTCATAGATCCAGACGTCTTTAGACACACCGTTCTCCGATCCTCTTCCTCCTGTCACATAAACCTTACAGCCGATGGCACAAGCACTGAGCTCCTTTCTGGGGCTGGGAAGGTCTGCCTTAGGTATTATCTCCTTGGCTTTATAGTTAACCTAACAATGATAGAGATTATTTAATTTGCAGATTTAATAATAGGAAATAAGGGGTGAAATTGTCAGGTTAACATACAATTTATAACACTGAATGCCATTTAATCTGTGTCTATCAGAGAAAGAATTGAATTGGTGTGTTCACATATAACACAAAGTTATGTTCGCCTTGCTCTACTTGCGCGAATTTGACCGCTGGTACCATATTTACTTGCGTTTTATTCGCGCGAGTATGTGGTGAACCCATGTCTGGAAGAGAAGGGGAAAACTTCTCTTCTAGGAAAGAGGAGAGTCTTCTGCGTAAATAACAAAATAACAACAATTTCTTGTCATTTCTTTCTGTCTTCAAACATGGCCAATATACCAACTATTGCTACTTTGTACTCGTTGTGGAAGTCAGAAAATCAAACACAGTTGTGTTTGGGTGCATGATATTATCAGGAGGCGCACACAGCTCTGTAAATTTCATCACCTTCTCCATGAACTGCTCCTGGATGACTGCTGCTTCCAGCGTTACCTGAGGCTGAATAGTGCCCAATATAATGTCCTGATAGCTTGGATCGGTGGTAGGTATCACAGATGGACACCAACTTCAGGCGTTCCGTCTCCGGTGAGTTTCATAATTTATGTATCAAAAAGTCAGAATTCATACTACATACTGCATCTTTTAAAACGCTTGTTTTCTGAATGAGTTCGGAACGATCAGGGCTAGGCTAACGTTATGCTAACATTGTTGTGCTCCATCAACACTCTAACACTATAAAATTATTTAGACTCACCAGCATTTTGTGGCATATCAGTAATGCTACTAATACCAGATTTTATGTAGACTTTCAACACAGCATGTTAACTAAACATCAGTTTAATTTTTTTAATGTTTTCTGTCCTGCAGATAGGCCTACTTTGCCACTGGTGATTCATTCAAGCGCTTCGATCCAGCACCTTCCAACTGCCTGCTGAGCTGCCAGTACCAGGAGCTGACCACCGATGACCCCAGCCACACGTCTTTGTTGCTATGCGGCCTTTCCACTCCGGAAAAACCTCACAAGGCTATTCCTTAGAGACCTTCACATCCTACTTCTCTGCAGAGGGGGCTGTCCCGCAGTAACACACAAAGTAGTGCACAAGCACACCAAAAAGGAGCCACTAACACATTACCAATGAGTACACTTCCTGCAATATTATTATACTGTATATCAGTCAATAACGTGGCGATCTCAATGCTGAAAGGCTTTCACAACATAGCGTCGTGTGAATTTCTTGCTCTAGTTGAAAAATTTGAACTTGTACAAACAAGCAAAGTGTTGCAACAAACGCATGTAACTAAGCAGCGCAAAAAACTCGCTTTGTGTTGTATGTGAACACACCATAAGAGTCAGAATTGGATATTAATTTAACATAAACCAGAAACACTGTATAAAATTTGTGTTTATTACTTCTTTCTTCTGTGGTAAGACATGAATTGCCTTGACAGGGACACTTTAGCACACAAACAAAAAAATCTAGAGCAATTACACATGTATTTAAAGCTCCTTCTGATTCTGATTCTGATGACATCTAAACCAATTTTGACACTTTCCATTTAGAGAACCTAATCTGGTGTTCAATAACTATACAGTGAAACATTATTTTCTGATTAGGGAGCAGAGGTGACATTACAAATGCAGAGTCCAGATTTAATTACTTTAATCACAAAACAGTTCCATCCCAAATTGTGCCCATGACAACTGGGCAAAGTGTCTTCTGATGAAGATCATGTGATCAAAAGCTCTGTAACAGCCACTAAATGGACATCGTGGGGAGACCATATTTATTAATATTTAACACAAAGAGGAAACGCTCATTTAATATCAACAAATGTGATCACGATGTGATTCAAACCGAAGGATTTGATGTTTTTACTTTGTATTTTTTTTTTTTATGATTAACATTTTATTGATTTTTCAGAACATTTAAACACACACACATTCCTTCGAAAAATAAAGCAATACTCATACAACAAAATAGAATGAAAGGAGGACGTGGCACGCCCATAGACAAAAACTAAATACATTTAGAAAATAATAGAGAAAATAAAATAAATAAATAAATAAATAAATAAATAAAAATAATAATAATAAAATAAAATAAAGCAGTGATGCACCTAGCCCTTGAGTTACAGCCTTGCCTAAATGTAGGTACCGTATTCTATCCAAAAGTATCCATCAATCATGTTTTCTAGTTAAATGCTATGTTTTTGAGCTGGAACGCTGTTAAACCTTCAAGGTGTACGAATGAAACTTCCCCCATTCCAAGTTGTACTCCTCCACTTTATCAAGCAACCTATAGGACAGATGTTCAAGGGCAGCCAGCTGACCCAGAGCGGCGTACCACAAATCCAGTGCTGGTGCAGAGGGGGCTTTCCATTCTTTGACCACAAGTTTCCGGCCTAGCATGAGGACAGTCTGGATCCAGTTAGAGAGTGGAGGGGCCAGGTCACTTAATGCAGAGGGGTCCCCCCAAATAAACAGACTAGGGGTGAGTGGGATATTCTGTTCGACAATTTTCTCTACAATTGTATGCAGGGAAGACCAAAATGCCTGAATTTTCGGGCAACTCCAGAGCATGTGTACAAAGGTACCATTTTTGTCCTGACACCTCCAGCATTCTGAGTTATCAACCAAACCAACCTTATGCAGCCTGGATGGTGTCCAATAGATTCTATTCAGTATTTTGAATTGGATAAGTCGCGTTCGCAATTCCCTTGACATTTTTTTCCCATTGCTAAGAATTCTGCCCCATTCTGCATCTGTAAATGACACCTTTAAATCAGTTTCCCATGTCATTTTAAGGGACAAAATATTAGAGTCCGAGGCCGTAAGGATCATAGCGTAGTAGGCAGAGGCTTCGTGGCCACGCCCATAGATTGTTAGAACCTTCTCCAACATGTCACCGCTCGGTGGGACTACTGAAGGGGAGCCGAAGACCTGCACCACTAGGTGTCTTAACTGAAAATACTTCCACTGTTGATTACGTGGTAAGTCAAATTCCTGACTAAGTGCCTCAAAAGACTTTAATGTCCCATCCTGGTACAAGTCACCGAGCACCCTAATCCCTTTTTGCAACCAAAGCTTCCAAAGGAAGGGAGATTTATTTATACAGAGCTTGGGATTTAGCCAGATCCCGGCAGCCTTGTGCAGATATGGATCAAATTTAAGAAACTTAGCTACTCTCTTCCAGACCCACTGAATATGAGACAAAATGGGATGTGACTGATACTGTTGGGCTAATTTAGCTGAGATGCATGCAATGGGTGTGAGAGGGGAGGATACCGCGCTTTCGAGGTGGAACCACGGAGGGGCTCTCTCCGGGGGTAAAGACCACTGTGCCATATGCCTAATGGTAAACGCATAATGGTAAAAAAGCAAGCTGGGCACACCTAATCCTCCTTTGTCCACTGGCCTCTGCAGCTTTCGCAGGTTCATCCTGGGGCGTTTATTATTCCATAAAAATGTATTACAAAGTTGATCAAATTGTTTGAAATAGCGCAAAGGAATTCGGACTGGCATAGCCTGTAGAAAATAGTTAAATTTCGGAGCACAAATCATTTTAATGATGTTTGCCTTCCCCCACATAGAGAGATACAATGGAGACCACTGCTCTAAGTCAGCCCGCATTTTGTCCAGTAGGGGGTCAAAGTTTGTTTTAATCAGATCCGTCAATATGGGGGGGAATGTTAAACCAAGATATTTAATGCCTTTCTTAGGCCAGGCAAAAGTGCCTGACTGGAAGAGGGATTTGGGACAATATGGAGTGAGAGGAAGAGCCTCAGATTTTGTCCAGTTGACTTTATAGCCCGAAATGGATGAGAACTTGTCAATAATTTTGAATAGTGAAGCAAGAGACTGTTCGGGATCTGTGACAAACAAAAGGATATCGTCTGCATACATCATCAATTTATGACATGTATGCCTGGAAATGCAGATTCTTTACGTATAGCAACCGCAAAAAGTAGAGGAGAGAGAGGATCTCCCTGCCTCGTGCCTCTTTCCAGTTCAAATGGGAGGGAGATGATACCGTTAGTAAGCACTGACGCTGAGGGATGAGTATATATGAGCCTAATCCAAGCTATGAACTTTTTGCCGAAGCCAAAACATTCAAGGGTGGAGAGCAGATTATGCCACTCCACCCTGTCAAACGCCTTTTCGGCGTCCAGCGAGATAGCAGCCATGGGAGAGGCATTATCCTGAGTGGCCCACATAATATCAAGAAGTCTTCTGATGTTGTCAGCCGAGGAGCGCGAACGTATAAAGCCGACCTGGTCAGGATGGATCAAGGAGGTTATTACCTTGTCCAGACGGTTAGCTACAATTTTAGATAGTATTTTACTGTCGCAGGAGGTCAAACTAATAGGTCTAAAATTCTTACAGTCTAGAGGGTCTTTTCCTTCCTTCAAGATAAGGGTGATAATGGCCTCGGATAAAGAGGGAGGGAGTTTACCCTTCTCGAAAGCTTCATTATAGGTGTCTAAGAGTAATGGTGCAAGTTCCTCAGCATAAGCTTTATAAAACTCGGCCGTAAAGCCATCTAAACCCGGTGCTTTACTTGAAGGGAGGTGTTTAATAACATCCCTTATCTCCTCAATAGTAACAGGTGATTCAAGGCGTTCGAGCTGGTCCCCCGACAACATCGGCAGATCAAGAGTTGACAGAAAAGATGTAATGTCATCCCTGTCCCCCCCTGCCTCTGAAGTATAGAGTTTTACATAAAAGTCTCTAAAAACTGTATTAATCTCCTTGGGATCAGTTAGGACAGACCCATTGTCCCTCCTAATAGCAGGAATAGTACTCATTGCTTCTTTTTGTTTAATGTACCTGGCAAGTAGTCTACCATCCTTGTCACCCTCCTCAAAATATTGGCTTGCCCGAAAGAGAGAGAATTCTGCCCTCTGGGTCATAATTGAATTAAAATCATATTTTAGTCTAGTCAACCTGGTAAGATTTTCCAAGGACACATTTTTTTTA